AGGCTGTCCGGCCTCTGGGAGAGTTGACCTGTTGGATCTTGTGGTGACTGGCAACCACAGACTCCCAGGCTGTTTTTCTGGGAGAGTTGACCTGTTGGAACTTGTGACACTGGACAGGCAAGCCACTTTGAGAAACGATGCAGACTGTTGGAGGGTTAGGGATAAGCCAGTTTCTGGGTGCTAATCAATCAGCGGGGGATTTTTTTACTTTGGAGCTGCCAACTACATGTTTTTCAAAAGAGGTGATTAGCAGTGGGCAAAAGAGGGCAGTCAAACTTTGATTGCATTCAAATTACCAGTAAGGAGCCTTTCAGATGAAGCTAATTTATTCAGGATGTCATTGGCCATGAATATGAGGAGGGTTGCAGCCAATGGCAGCTTGTGAGTGATGATGAGATTTTGTAAAATAGACCCACAAGGACTGTTTGAGTGACTTATTTACATATTTGCATTGTTTAAAGCAAACTCCATATTCAAAGGGAGTTGACTAGCAGTTGAACTTTAGCTCACACCTCATCTTGCCCTATGTACAATGTAAAAAGTGGACTTGTTTTAGGGTTGATTTTAGTCTTCAACGTGATACACATGTATCTTTAGTGAATTTCGCTTCCCTTGTTTATTGGCTTAATTTTAATTTCTATTCTAAAGATATTCGGGACACCGTCAAGTACAAGGAGGTGATGAAGCAGTACGGATTGGGCCCCAATGGGGGAATCATGACGTCCCTCAACCTGTTTGCCACACGCTTTGACCAGGTCATGGAGTACGTGGAAAAGCGCAGCCAAGAAACAAAGTAAGCCACATGACTTGAATGAACTCCTCGCACAGTCATGGTTTGTTGTCTGCTTCATGCAGAATAAAAGATGACGTGCTTGCACATTACAGGGGTGTGAGAATTCAGCTTTTTACCTTATTTCAGCTTTTTTTTGTTTAGATCATGACCCTGAATTTCAGCTGTTTTTATACACATGGTCTGTACAAACATTTGGGAACTTTTAACATTTCAGCTTGTTTAGCTGTTTTCAGCTTTAATTTAAGTGGCCACTCACACCCCTGACATGGATTATGCATGTACAGGTTCATATGCATTTTGGAGGGGACGGGCAGAGGACACATGACCAGTGTCCGTTTTTACTACTGTCTTTACTGGAGAGTAACCCCTCCAGCAATAGAGTACCACAATAAGGAACAGAAGGAGCAGTTCAAAGGAACGGAGTACGTGCACATGTTGGTTCCCACGCTGGTTCTCACGGTAATGCCTTTTACGCACATAATTGTGCGCGTGGTGTATGCACATGTATAGCTGATTGTTCGGGGCCCTCACAACAAAGACGACAAGGAAGAAAGGGGTGGGAGGAAAACCCCGGATGAATTTATCCGGGAAAACACGCTGAATCAGGTGAGACCTGGAAACCGAATCTGCTCTCAGACCGAGGTTGAATTGGAACTCTGCCGGCACAGATGGGCTTAAGGCAAAGAGAGAGGCGCTGTGCCCATCAGATCCCGCGTGGGGGCCAGGTGCCAAGTTGAAACGATTCCCACCACCATCTCCAGCTGTTCTTTGCCAGCGAGGAGATGCCCTCAAGTGTGGCAGGTAGAGCAAAGTTGCACGTACCAGTACCTTGTACCTTGAGTTACACACTATACATTGTACACGACCTCTGTGGTCTTTGATTTTGTTCATTTTCAGATACGTCATCGTTGACACTCCTGGGCAGATTGAGGTGTTTACATGGTCAGCCTCAGGAGCAATTATATCTGAGACAATGGTAAGTTTGGAGGAGGGGAGTGGTGCCTGTGGTAATGAGACACCTGTCTGGAGCAGCCTGTCATGAAGCTGAGTCAATTTCAATAAATATTTAATCTGGGACCGTCCGTTTGATAAAGTTTTGGCTATTTGGTTGTTGTAACAAACTCTTACCAGTACATGTACATGTACCTCTGAGTTTCTGGACAGGGATGGTCCTGTCGGAGGAACAACCACAAAGAGAAATCTGTGGACCAAGAAATCCGCTAAGTGATCCTACACTGTGAATGTCACACTTTGTGTAAATTCACTGTCCGGAGACAATTTTTTTATGGG